CTCGGGGGACCACACCCGGTGGGTCGGCGCACGTCCCCCATGACAGTGATGCGGTGGAGGCAGATGTGTCTGTTGGTGCAGACATGGACAGCCCCATTGTTGTTGCTCCGGCGGAGGCTGATGCGGTAATTGATGCGTGTGGGGATGATCCGGTTGGTGAGCATGGGGATGATCAGGCCGGTGCCACTGCTACGGATGGTGTTGTCGGTGCAGTTGACGATGGTGTTGTTGGTGCGGACACGGGGACCGACGATGGTCCCATTGCGAGCGGCGATGGGTTCTCCACTCCGGATCCGGGGTTGCGATTGGGGGAGAGATTCGCCTCCATGTTGTCGCACGTGGCCCCTATTGCCCCGCGTGGCTCTGCACAAGACTTTGTAAGCACCTGGCTTCGATGTCCCCAATGCAGACTGATGACGAGTCTAACACCCCTGATTGGGCCAGATTCAGCGGACCAACCCCGCCCACTCTTCGGTTGAACGAGGACATTCCGCTCATCGCTGGGGAGCGCACACACGCCCAAGTTTACAGGCGGAGGCCCACGCCAGTCCAGGAAGGTGGAACGACCCCACCACATGACATGAAGGCACGGTGTGCAATGGTGTCACCGCCCGACATTGACGAGAGCAAGGTGCACCGAGTGAAGAATTTGGCGGGCAGAAAGAAGGGAGGGAAGAACAAGGAGGCAGCGGCACCCAAGACAAGAGGCGGAAGAAGGAACAGACGCAAGACTGTCACGCCGCCCGAGACCTTCGAAGAAAAGAGTGCTGTTGTTCGACAGGCGAAAAGGAAGAAGGCTCGACGAGTGCAAAAGAAAGTTGCTGCAGCAGATCGATCGCCGAAACGCGGACCACAGAAGAAAAGGAAACGTGTGCAAGAGGACGATGAATCGAGTAGCAGCAGCTCTTGGCCTTTCACGTCTTCGTCCCGATCGGGGTCGACATCGTCGTCATCTGACACGAGTAGCAGCAGTGAATGAAAGTGTGTTCTGCATGTGTGTGTGTGTGTGTGTGTGTGTGTGTGTGTGTGTGTGTGTGTGTGTGTGTGTGTGTGT